CCCTTCATCTCACGGGATAACACAGCTGGACAACTACATCGGGGAACTGGAGCCTCTTTTGAATCTCTGCCCAGCTCCTGACACACCTTCCCCTAAGGCCCCGTATATCTGGGCTAGCCTGGCGGTTCGGGGGGGCTGAGAGGGATGGGAGTGTCACCCCGCTCTCCTGCCAGGCCCCGCGGTGGATTACTACCCGCTGGACGACGATGGCAACGACGATTACGACGAGGAGGAGCTGGCCGCGGGTTTGCCGTTCTTGGACGTTGCCGTGGCGGAGGGAGCCGTTCCCTACAGCTACTGCGGCTTCCGCAAGTCCTTCCTGTGCTCGGCGCCGCCCCCGCAGCTCCCCCGCACCTCTCCCACCGCCCTGGACGCGCGGCTGGGCCGGCTGCCCACGCCCCGCCGCACCCGGCTCACGGCAGAGGTGGGGGGAGTCCCTCTGCTGTCCCCCCCCCCTCATCCCCGGGACTGGGGGGTCCCAATTCGGGCCCCGGGGATGTCGTGACTCGGGGCATCCCTCCTGCAGGAAGCTGAGAAGAACGCCCAGGAGCTGGTGGCAGAGGAGGAGCGGGCGAAGAGGAAGGCAGAGAAGAAGAAGCTGAAGAAGAAGGTGGGCGAGGTCGCAGCCAGCTGCTGGGGACTGGGGGCACTGCCTCTTCTTGGGGTGCTGCCAGCAGGTCCCTGAGCTCGGGGATCGCGTGGCTGGGGGCATTTTTCTGCCTGGCACCTGCTCGTGAGTCTACATCTTGCCTTTCCAGAAACAAAAAGACCGAAAGAAACGGGAGAAACTGGGTCAAGGGCAGAAGGACAAAGAGAACACTGACCCAGTGAGTGACCAGTCTAGACCCCTTGTGCTGTTCTGGGGGTGCCCCGAGGTGGGGGCCAGCCAGCACCCCCTAGCCCTGTCACCTCACCCCCTCCCTCTCCTTGCAGAGCCCCCCAAGTGGCCCTGCAGGCACCGGGCTTTCCTCAAGTGGTGCTGAGGATGAGGGGTGCAGCCCAGAGCCCTCCTCCTGCCCTGGGGACTCCACAGTCCCCTCAGGGGAGCCTGGGCCAGAGGACACAGCGGGGACAGAGGTGAGGGACAGTGTCCCCAGGGGGACCATGTGGGTATGGGGGTTCCCAAGGCTCTGCCTGCCCATCCCTCCCTGCTTCCCCAGGAGGAGCTGGACCTGAGCTGCACTTTTGTCTGCAAAGCACGGGAGAAGGCGGGGGTCAGGCTGCCTCCCCCGGTCACTGACCAGTCCCCCAGGACACAGAACGTGGAGCCAAGCAGGAAAGTGCCAGAGAAGGCAAGTGGGGAGCCTGTGGGGAGACCTGTGTCCCCCCAGCCCCTCCAGCCCAGGCCACCCAGCCCCAGCACGGTAGAGCAGAGCCTGGCGCTTGCAGGTCAGTGCAGGGACCCCCAGAGAAGCGAGGGGAGGAGGGCACTGGGGGCTCTCCCTGCTTCTCCCCAGCTCAGAAGGGCTGTGCTAGGGGAGCTGTCCCTCCCCGTGTCCTCACCGCCCGCCCCATGTCACCTCCCCAGGCCACGGCATCGAGGCAGCCCAGATGGGCCAACACACTGAGGCCGTCTGGGCCTTCACCGTCGCCCTGGAGCTGAACCCCCGGGAGCACCGGTGAGCAGAGGGGCTCGGGGTGAGCCGGGGCTGCTGGGGTGGCAGGGCCAAGGCCTCAGGGACACCCCCATCCCCACAGCTTCCTGGGGAACCGCTCCTACTGCCTGGAGAAGCTGGGCCGGTACGAGGAGGCGCTGGCGGATGCGGAGGCAGCGCTGGCACTGCGGCCGGGCTGGCCCAAGGGCTCCTTCCGCAAGGGCAAGGCCCTCAGGGGGCTTCAGGTACCTGGGGGGGCTCCAGGGACCGTGCAGGGGGCTGGAGTCGTGGGGGGAATTGCAGGAGATGGATGCCATGGCTGGTGAGAGGCTGCTGGGCTCTAGGAGCGAGGGTGGGGCTTTTGGAGTGGCTGAAGGGTGCTGTGGGGTGTTGTTGAAGACAAACTGGGGGTTTTGGAGTGCTGGTGGGCTGAGGGGTGCAAGGGGGTCTGGGTGGGGGTTGTGGGGAGCCGGATGCTGTGGCTGAGGGGTGTGGGGCTGGTTGTGTTATTTGTGAGTTGGGCCTGTGGGAGGACTGGGGGTGCAGCAGGGTGTTAGCGGGGTGGGGTAGGGCTGCTGTGCTGGGGGGGATGGCAGTGAGGCTTGGAGGTGCCCTTTGGGCTGGGTAGGGGGTGCGGGGTGCCCGTGGGGTTGGCAGGGGGTCGCAGGTGCCCTCCGGCCCCCAGCGCTACGCCGAGGCCGCGCACGCCTTCGAGGAGCTGCTGCTGCAGGACGGGGCCTGTGCTGAGGCAGCCGCGCAGCTGGAGGACTGCCGGGCCCTGCTGCAGGTCAGAGCCCCTTTCCCAAACCCCACACCCCCTGCCCCCTGTCCTGCTGTGCCCCCCACGCCTCACCCCTGTCCCCTCACAGCAGAGCAGCCGCCCCGGGGGTGTCCCCGTGTCCCCTTTCCTGCTCAAGGCTAAGGAGCCGCTGTCTCTCCCTGGTAAGGGACAGGGGTGGGTGGGCTTGGGGGACCCTGGGAGTATCCCTGTGTCCCCGGTGGGTGCTGGACTCCTTTGGCCCCCTTGGCAGCAGGATGGCCAACCAGGAGCTGCCAGGACACAGGTGACAAAAGTGTAACGGGAGGCAGTGCCAGGACCCCCAAAAAAGACCCAGAACGGGCACCTGCTGTGGCCAGCAGCTACCCAACACTGCCACCGAGCCACCCTGCCAGGTACGGAGCTCTGGTGATTTGGGAGGGGGGGCCCAGAGTGGGGCAATGCTGGCTCTGGGGGACACCAGGATGGCTTTTGGCAGGGACTGCTTCCCGCTCTGGGTGGGCAATGTCACCTCCCACATCAACGAGAAGGTGCTGCGTCGTGCCTTTGGCCGGTGAGTGACCCCCAGGACCTCTCCTCCTCCAGGACCCCAAGCCCCTGGCATGGCCCTGCTGACCCCCAGGCTGCCCAGCTCTGTCCCCTTGTTCTCCGGTGGTTTTGACCTCCAAGGGCTGTTTGGGGAGTAATGTTTGACTCACAAACCACCTTTCAGGTTTGGGGGTCTCTATCCCACAGCTTGGGGTGTCTTTAACTGTTCCTCCTCAGGTTTGAGAGTCTCAGTTTCCCCATTCTGGAGGCTTGGGGGTGCCTCAGTTTCCCATCTTTGAGAGTCTTTCACCCTTCCCCAGCTGCTGGGAGGTTGCCAAACCTGCTTTGCATGTTTGAGAGTCTCTGACCCTCCCACCCTGCAGGTTTTAGAAGTCTCTAACCCTCCACCTCCCCATTTAGGAATCTAACTGTTGCTCCCCCCCCAACATTTGGGGGTTCTGTGCCCCCCAGGTTTGGGGAGATCCGCTCCATGCGGCTGCTCCCGGGGCGCCACTGTGCCTTCATCAACTTCAGCGGGAAATCAGAGGCCGAGGAGGCCTTCAGGGCCATGCAGGTGAGCTGGGGGAACTCGTGGCACCCCCTTCCCCCCCTCGGGTGGCCCTGGGACCCCCTGTCCCCCCCCAGAGGACTTATCCCAGTGCCAGCTGCCAGCTCCTTCTGTCCCCAGGGTGCCACCTTGGAGGGCAGCAAGCTGTTGCTGCAGCTCAAGCACCCGGCCCACGCCACGCCGGCGCCCGTGCCCCGTGCCAAGGGCAAGGCCACCCCCGGGGGGCTGCTCAGTTGACCCTGCTCTGTTGGGGGGGTCCCTGGCAGCCCCCCCCTCACCTGCCTGTACCTGCCTGTGCCTTGTCCCCCCACTGCCAGGGGTGGGAATGTCTCCCTCTCGTGCCTTGGGGGGTGCTGGGGGTCCAGGGCCCACCCTGCAGCCCCTTGTCTGAGGGGTTGGGCTTGGGCTATTCCCCGTGGCCCCTCAGGGATTTGTACCAGTTTGTGTTTTTTTAATAAAGCTGAGCTTTCTTTTTCTGTCTGGCCTTGTTTTGGGTTGGTGTCCCTCAGCCTCTCTGCCACCCCTCTTCCTCGTGTCCCCCTCTGTCCCCCTGTCACTCCAGCCCCGGGGGACAGCAAGCGGGGTCTCTATCCCCCCCTTAATGCCACTGGTGACAGGAGCTTGGAGGGGGGGTGTGACAGGCGTGAGATCAAATACAATTTGATTAATATGCAAATGGAGGGGGGGCAGGGGCTGCCGCAGCCGGTAATTAATCACCGGTTAAAACAAATTAATGCCCGCCGTGGGAGGTGCTCGCCCGGAAAAAAAAAAGTGGGGGGTGGGGGGTCTCTAGGGTCCATATTAAGGTGTTGCCTTTATTGCAAATATTTACACCGGGGCTGATAGAAAATAAAATTAAAAAAAAAAAAAATTTAAAAAAACAATGAAAAGACGAACAAAAAAAAAGCCGCAAAAGGGTGCACTGAGGGGGCGGGGCTGGGCTCGGCTCCTTTCGGAACCCTCCGAACGGAGCCGAACGGGACCCGAACGGAGCCGAACGGGACCCGAACGGAGCAGTCTCGGTCGGGAGCGACCCGAGTGAATCCGAACTCAGCCGAACCGGCCCGAGCGGAGCCGCGTGGATCCGAACGGAGCCGAGCGCGCTCGGCTCAGTCCGCCACGTCGATCTCCTCCTCCGACAGCTCGGCGGGCTCTGTGCTCCCGCCGCCGGTACCGGGAGCCCCCGGCGGCTCGGGCAGCCCCGCCAGCTGCTGCAGGGCGGCGGGGGGCAGCGCTTGCAGCGAGGCCACGTCCGCCCGCAGCTCCTCCAGGTCCCGCTTGAGCTTGGCGCGGCGGTTCTGGAACCAGGTGATGACCTGGGCGGCGGAGAGCGCCAGCCGCGCCGCCAGCGCGTCCCGGTCCACCGGGGAGAGGTAGCGCTGCCGCCGGAATCGCTGCTCCAGCTCCCGCAGCTGCTGCGCCGTGAACGCGGTCCGGGACTTGCGACGCTTCCTGCAGGGAGGCCGCGGGCCCGAGGTGCCCGGCGGGGACGGACCTGCGGAGACAGCGGGGTTAGGGCACGGAGACCGGGGAGCAGCACCGGGACCCGCACCGGGGAGCGGCCCCCGGGAGCCCGGCTGTGAAGTGCCTGCGGGTGCAGGGCATCGCACCGGGAACGGCACCGGGAACCGCAAGCAGCACCGGGATGCCCGGTGGGGGAGGGCTTATGGGGCAGGCTACCGGCACGGGGACCCGGACAGCACCGGCACCGCAGAGCACCGCGGGCCTCGACCTGCGGGGCCAGCGGCGTCAGGTCAGCGACACCGGTACGCGTACCGGGACCCACCCCGAGCACTGCGGGTCCCGACCTGAGGGCACGGCAGTGCCGGGGCACCGGTAACTGCAGCCGCATCGGCCCCGCCGACTCCCGGTCGAACGGAGACGAACCGCTCCACATCGAACCCAACGCAGACGAGCCGTACCAAACCGAGTCGTGCCCAAGCGAACCGAGCAAACCGGAAGCTGGAAGCCGGGAGTCACCGTTCTACAGCGGCCGCGGAGTGTCGGAGTCGCCCCCGTTACGACCGGGGCTGAGACACCCGTGTCCCGCCGGCGGCGGTTCCAGCAGCCAGGAGCGAAGCCGGGAGTCTCGGTAGAGAACCGGGATCCTCCTTCTCTACGATTCCAGGAGAACCGAGGCCGTGCTGGTCCCCAGATTCGTTCCCGTCGCCTCTCCCGGCCCCGGTGCGGTCGCTGCTGCCCCTAGCGAGCCAGAGAACCCCCGGCGAGACGCGGATCGCCACCCCGGGCACGGCTCCACGCCGCCGGTGGGATCCCGATCGCTGTCCCGATCTCTTTCCCGGTCCGTTCCAGCCCCGCCGCTGCCGGTGGCACCGAGCCGCCTCTCGGTAACGCGGCCGTGCGTCCCCCAGTAACAACGGTGGCTCCCGGGCTCTCCCGCAGCTCGGACTCCTTATTCGGTAGAAGAGCCCCCGGTGGTCCCGGCCGAGTCCGTGGGTCCGTCCCGGTAGCACGGCTTTACCGAGGTCGCGAAAACCCGATCGATGTGTCCGTCTGTCAGTAACGGGGCTTCCCCTCCAGTCCCGGAGCCCCGATTGGCCCCGTTTCTATCCGTCCGTCCATCCCGGTAACGGGGATTTACCCCCGCTCTGGGAGCGCTGATGTCTCCGTGGTCAGTCCGTCCTTCCGTCGCGGCGAAGAGGCGTTTTCGTTCATCACGGAAGCCCCGGGCTGTCCCGCTGTGTCGGTGGGTCCGTCCCGGTGACGAGGTTTTACCTGAATTACCGGCACCTCCATCTGTCCGCCGGTCCCGGCTCGTTCCGCCGTTACCCGCGGCCGGTTCGCGACCGGGTTTTGTTAATTCCGAGATCCCCGCTCGGCCGTGTCCATCTGTCCGACCGGTACCGGAGCTTCACGTCCGCTCCGGGAACCCCGATCGCTCCCGTGCTTGACCAGCCGGCAGCGGTTTTGGGTTTTTTTCGTTCATTTTTATTAGTCCCGTGTCTGTCCTTCCGTCTGGCCGGTAACGGGAATTTACCTCCGCCCCGGGAGCCTCTATCGTTCCCATTTTTGTCTGTCTGATCACCCGGTTTATTCCGGGGTTTAGTGGAGTTTTTTAATCCATTTTCTGTCGATATGTCCGTCCGGTAACGGGCCTTTTTACCTTAATTCCGTGAGCTCCGATCGGCCCCGTTTTTGCCCGTCTGTCCGTCCCGGAAAAAGGAATTTTTCGCCCCGTTCCTGTCCGTCTGTCCACCCGGGAACGGAATATTTTCGCTCACTTATTTCGTTCCTTGCCGTGATAACGAGGCAGATAACGAGGGTTTTTACCTTAAAACCGGGAGGCCGAGACGTCCTCGTTCTGTTCGTCTGTCCGCCTGTTAACGAATTGGTTTATTCGTTAATCACAGGATCGCTGCTCTCTCTGTCCGTCTCTCTGCCCGCTATGGTTCCTTAATTACCGGAGCGCCTCTCCGTAATTAGGGAATTTTTTTCCCCGTTAATCACCGGAGTCTGTCTCCATTTTCGTTCATCTCTCCGGTCGGTAACGAAGGTTCGGTTACTCACGGGACGGCTGATCTAGCGGTCCGTGTCCGTCTGTCCGAAGGGTTTTTCGTTACCGGCGTGAGTCGCGTTGTGCACAATCGTATCCATTAATTACCAGCACGCTGCTCTGCCGTGACTGTCGTTCTGTCCGTCCCGGTAATATATTTTTTTTTCCACGTTAATCACGGAGACTCTCTCTGTCCGCCACAGTAAGGGACGGTAATTGTTTTTCTGCTTTAATTACCGGAGCCTTTTTCGGTCTGTCCGCGTCGATCTGGCTGTCCCGGTAACGGTTTTATTCCTTCCCGGCGACGCCGTGCTTTGCTTGTCCGTGTGTCTCTCCGTGCGAGGGATTTCCCGTTAATCCCGGAGACTCGATCTGTCCGTCCGTGTCCGCCTCTCCAACCCAGCAACGGATTTTTTCATTCCCGGAGGCGCCGTGCTGGCTGTCGGTTTCCGCCCGTCCTCCCGGTTCGGCCGGGCCCGGGAGATGTGGGGCCGGTTTGTCCCCGTCCCTGAGCGGCCGTCGGACCCCGCCGGTACAGGAGGTGCTCCAGCAGGCCAAGCCCCGGACGGAGCCACCGTCCCCCTGAGGCTCGGGGCCGGTACCGGGTTTCCGTTGCCGGAGGGTCCGATCCGCCACTTGGCCCCCGCGCTCGGTCACGGTCACGGTCACGGCTCGGCGGCGCCGATCCACCGCCCGGTCCCACGGCTCCCGGTAAAGCTGCCGGCCCCGGCGCGAGCGGTTCTCCCGGAGCTCCGGTGCCTGTGGCGGCTCACCGGGGCTGGGGCTCGCTCCGGTTCCCTGTGTCCGGCCCCGGGACTTGTCCCTCCCTTCGGACTGAGGCTGCCGCGAGTCCCCGGTGTCCCGGCGGAGCACCGGCGGCTTCTCGGGCCTCCCAGCCCCGCTCGCCCCTCTGAGACAAGGAGGAAACTTCCCGGGACGGGGGACGAGGGGCGTCCCTGGCCTCGCCACGGCCTCCCCACCGCCCTCCAGCCCCGCCACCTGCCCGGTGCCCGGTGCCCAGTTCCCGGTGCCCGGTTCCCGGTGCTCCTGCCCCGCCCCGGCAGCCCCCCGGCCCCGGTACCTCCGGCCGCCTGCAGCATTCCCAGCTCCAGCCCCTGGAAGGTTTTACTGGCGAGTTCCTCCAGCGCCCAGAGCGGCGAGGCCGGGGCGCAGCCGCCGCCGCCGCCGCGGGGCCCTGTCGGGGCGGGGGGGGCGGCGGGACCGGTCCCGGTCCCGGGGGGGCTCCCGCCGCGGGGACGTCCAAGGATGTCCTCGATGCCGAAGGGGGTCAGCGGTTTTGTGGTGTTGGCGGGGGGCGGGAGCCGGTCCAGGGGGCTCCGCCGGTGGCCGCCGACCGCGGCGGGCAGCGGGGGGGAACCGGCCGCCTCCCCCGCCGAGGTCATGCCGGGACCGGGACCCGCGCCGGGACCGGGACCCGCCGCCTCCGCCCCCCCCCCCCAGCCCCGCGATTCCCGTTCCACCGCCTTAAAGCCCCGGGATACCGGGAGGAGGAGGAGGAGGAGCCACCGACGCCCCCCCTGTCGAGGGGGGGGGGACCGACCCCTCTCCGCCACTACCGGGGCGCAGCCCCGCGCCTCCCCCCTGTTGTCTCCCCCATTTTAACCTACCCCAGAGGGTCCCCCCTCCTCCTCTGCTCCCTCCTCATCCTCACCGCGGCTCTTACCCTCACCCAAAAATTTATTGGCTCTTTTGCTCTAAAATGCCCCATAAAAGCATCGGGGCCGCGGCTGGGAGTGATTAAACCCTTTTGGGTGGGTTTTGGGTTTCAGAGCCATAAATTCCGCCCCCCCCCCCACCCCTCCCCGCCACATTCCCGCTGCCCTTTCCCGGTACAAATAGCTCCGGGATTTCGGCCGCTCGTAAAAATCCCGGGATGCCGCACACGCAGGTGAGGCCCGGCTGGCGACGCCGCGTCCGGATTATCCGGCGGCTTTGGGGCCGGGGGATGCCGAATCGCTTCTCCGGAGAGGCGGTTCGGTACCCTTCGGGCCAAATCCCGTCGGGTGTCCCCGTGGATGTGTCGCTGGGATCGGGGACACGGCGAGGTCACCGGGGTCACGGCGGTAATGAACCTGCGGCCGGTGCGGGGGGGTGCCGGTGGGAGCACACGGAGCCGGCTTGGGGGAGCAGGTGCAGGGGGATCCGGCAGCGCCGATGCCAGGATTATGGAAGTGGGGAGGGGGCGGGAGGGAGGGTGGGGTGGGGGGATTTTTCCAATCTTGCTGACAAAGGCAGAACGCGATCTCCCGGCTGGAAATCGGAGTTTGACAAATTCAACCTTGAAATTTCCCAGCAGCCGGAGCAATTAAAGGCCGGCGAGTGTGTGTGTGTGGGGGGGGGGGGGGGGGGGAGGGGGCTCGGTTTGGGAGAGGGACACGGGGGCCCCTCGCACGGCGGCGTGCCGGGCACAGCGGCGTTTGCACGGATTCCTCGCACGCGGCTTTTGTCCTCTCCGCAGGGCGCGGGGAGATGGCGGAGCTGCCGCTGCCGCACGTGCCGCCGGCTCTCACCGGGGGACGGAGCCCGTCCCGAGCTGGGACCCCCCATTCCCACCCCTCCAGCGGAGCTGCCAGCGGTCCCGCACTCGGATGGACCGCTGGGAGCCCAGTCCCTTCCAGCAGCACCGCTGGAATGAGGCCACCGTGCCGGCCACAAGGCCTTGGGTGCCCGGTGAGCAGGGAATGGGGGTCGCAGCCCTTGCCAGGGGTCCCGACCCTTCCCGGGGACTCCAACCCCATGGGGGTTTCAGTCCTGGTTTAACGCTCTGGGAAATCGCTTCTCGGGGTGATGCCGTGTTCTCGTGTTGATGGGGAATTGCGGCCGCCCACCCGCTGAGCAAACCCCGCTGGAACGCTCCGGCTCCTCCGGGGCCAGCGGGACCTCGGCAGCCGAGCCCCGGGCTGGGGGTGTGGGAGCAGGAATGTGCGGGAACCCGCCGGATCTCCAGCGGTGGTGCTCACCCTGATGGATGCGATGTCACCCTCACCCCATCGCCCCCTCTCAGCAACCCCCCATTATCACCCACGTTGCTCTTGCGGTGAATCCCTGCGCCCAGGGGTGCTCCCAGATCATGGTGCTGGCACCTCCTTCCTTCCCCGAGCCCCCACTCGTACCCCGAGGCGGCCGGTGAGGCATTTCTGGGGTGGGCTGAGCCCCCCACCACCCTGCCCGACCCCTCCGGTTTCCCCTCGGTGTGGGAAGTGCTGGCTCCAGCTGCCGGGAACACAGGATGGGAAACGCTTTTCACCCCAAACCAGGCCACAGGGTGGGAACCAAACGAGCCCTCGGGGGTTTTGCAGGAACACGGGAGCTTCCTGCGGAGCCGGGAGAGTGCCCGGCGCTGGCCCGTGGCCCGAGGGGACGGTAACGGGGGTAACGGACACGTCCACGGCGTGCGGCTGAGGGCACCCCAGGGCACTACCCCCGGTGTGGCACTAACAGCCTCCGCCTTTGTCCCACTCCTCCACCCCGGGGGTGTCCCTGGGGGTCTCTGGGGGGGTCCTGGAGGTCTGGGACCTTGGATCCCAACCATCTCCCAGCCCCTTATGCCCCATCCCTGCCATGAGCCACACCGGGACACACGCACGTGTTTGTGTGTGTGTGTGTTCACGAGTGTGCACATGTGAGGGGGGTTCTGTGCGCACTCGATCCGCGTATAAGAGGGCACCGAGGGGGTGTTCGTGCTGGAGCTGGGGGTGCTGCCGTGTCCCCCCACCCAGCATCCCCCATCCCGGGGGCTGCCGTGGCTCCAAGCACCGGCAGCTCCCGGTATTCCCCACCCGGGGCCGCGCACCCCGGAGAGCTGCCGGGAGCGGGGTGCTGGGGTGCCAGCAGAGCACCGGGGGTAACACAAATCGGGGTGCGGCTCCCCCGTAACGCGCTTCCCCCGCCCCGCGCCGCCCTGATCCATTATTTATCGGCTCCATCCCAATATTGCGCCGCAGCGCTCTGTAACGCGATTAGGGCCTCGGCCCCGCGCGGCCCCGGCACATGGAAATCGCTGGCAAATGAATTTTCCTTTAATAAGGGAACAGCTCGGTGCGGAATTAAAGTGTAAGGAGCGGCGGCAGCGCCGGGGGGGCGCCGGGAGCCCCCCCGCGCCGGGGGACGGGACCCCAGCAATTACTGGCAATAAATCCTGACCCTGTGGTGGGCTGGGACCTCAGCGGAGCCGGGAATAATGGGATTACACCTGGCTCCGGTGCATGGGGATGGATGTGTCGGGAGTCGGGGGAGCCAGGGGAGACGGGGATCCCTCCCCGGGGCTGTTGGCAAATAATCGATTCATTAACGGGAGCGGCATCGCCCCCCGCGCACCGGGGGTCTGAGCGCAGGCACGGCACGGGGGGAGCGGGGGAATGGGATGGGGATGGGGATGGGGATGGGGATATGGGGATGGGGATGGGGATATGGGGATGGGGATGGGGATATGGGGACAGCGCAGGACTAGGGACACACGGAGCCTTGCACATGCCTCCCACGGCTCCCACACCCGCGTGTCTGCGTGGCCGCGACCACCGCAGCAGGCTCCTCGCCGCCGTGTGTGCTGTGTGCAGGTGTGTCCAGGTGTGCACGGAGGGCTCACGGACACACCAGCTCACACATCCAGAGCCGCACACGCGTGTGCGGGAGCACACACACACACACACACACACACACGCGTGGAGCCACGAGTACCAGAGTGCCAAGGACCGGCCGGGGTCAGCGGGTCCCGCCAGCTCCGGCCCCAGCTGCCGCACCCCCCCGGAATCCCCTGCTCGCTCCGGGGCCTCCATTTGTGCCTGGGCCAAACTCCAGCCAAATGGGCCGTGGGCGGAGGGGGGGTTGCATTTCAAAGGCTCCGGCTGCAGCAAACGCCGCTGCCCCCCCGCCGGGCTCCGGGCCGCCCACGCCCCCTGACCCCCGCACGGCACTGCCAGGATGGGGGGGACTCCCCGTGCCCTGCCCCAGCACAGGGACCCGCTGGGACCCCCATGGGGTCGGGGTCCGTCCAGAGTTGACGTGCGGCTTTGGGGAGCGGGGGCAGGCTGAGCTGTTGGGCCGTGGGATCCCCATCCCGCCGTGGGGCAGAGCCGTGGCGTGGGGCCGCGTACCCGCTGCCCACCGAGCGGGGGTCTCTGTGCCAGGGGAGAGGGGGTGCAACAACCGGGATGGGGCGGCTGGAGAGGGCTGGGGGGTTCCGAGTGCCTCCCGCTGGTGCCTGGCGTGGGGAACCCGCAGCGTGCCCGTGGCACCGGCACCCGTGGGAGACCGGCTGCGGGCAGCGGGACGGTGGCGGGTGCCGCGGCGGGGCCGAGGCGGCGGCGGGGCCATGAGGATTCAATTAGGGCTGAGCGCGGGGGACTCGGCTCGGAAATGGCCCGTCTGGGCGTTGACAGCCCGGCCCCCGCCCAAGATGAACGACCCCCGGATTAAAGCGCGGAGGGGTGACAGGGGCACCTGAGCAGGGAGGGGGCTGGGGCGGCTGCAGGAGGGGCGGGACCCCCCCTTTGGCACTGCCACGGGGCAGTGAATAGCCGAGAGGGGGTCTCCAGTGGGGAGCGGGACGTGGCACCAGGGCCACTACGGGATCACCCCTAAACCTGGCTGGGGACACCTCGAGCGATGTGTGCCCGCAGCCCCGGGCCGCCACGGCGGTGGCAGCAGAGTGGGGGCACCGCGGGGGTCTTAGGGGACTCTGCCATGCGTAGGATTGAAGGGGAGGGGGGGGCACACGCCCCTGTCATCCCGCAGGAGCCCGAGGGGGCCCGTCCGTCGCCGCGAGCACGGCGCAGGGCTCGGGGGATCGATGGCCGCGCGGGTCACCGCTGCCATTAACCCCGGCGAGGCAGCGCCCCGAGGTTAATTAAAAAGTGAAGTGCAACGAAACGCGGCGGCGGCGGGGGGTGACAGCGGTGATGGGGCCTGACAGCAGCGGGGGGTGACAGCGGCAGCGAACGCTGGGGGTGGCACTCGTACGGGCTGCGGGCACGGTGGGCGCTCCAGGGCACGGTGCCGATTGCAGCCGGCAGCAGGGGCTGTCCCACCGGGAACGGGGCCGCGGGACAGCGAGGGGGGCAGGTGGCACTCGGAGTGTCCCCGTGTCACACGTGCTGCCTGGCAGAGCCGGGTAGGAGGAAGAAGAGGCGTCGCAGAGGAAGCCCCATCCTTCCTCCTCCTCCCACCCCAGCGCTATTCTTAGCCCCGGTCTGTCCTGCATCCTCCCCGCCCGGCGGGGTCCGGCCCTGCGCCCCGCGGGAGCTTCGGGGTGGGACAACGGGGGGGTCCCCAAGCGAGGACACCCCCACGGGGACCCCCGTTCCTCTCTGGGTCTCGCTCCCCGCCCCCAGCCGCCCGCCGTAACTTTAGACCCGACAGCTGCTCCGCGCCGCCCGCCTGCAGC